AAATTTTTTATAATTCTTTAACTAGTTATCTTACATTTTAAAAATTTATGGTTATTCAATTTTTTGAAACATAAAATTTCAAATACAATTTATATATACAAAATTTTACTGTCAAATTCTACCTTCTAAGATTTTTAATGATTTTCAATGAAATAAAAAAAAAATATTATAATCTCATGTTTCAAGAAGTCTTGAAATATAATTCAAAATGACATGACATGTCAATACACACCTCTATTTGCATTGTTGCATTATTTATTTATTTTCACATTATTGTATTATGCTGGATATAGATATGGTCCTATGGACACTGCATGCACACGCATCAATGAATGTGCCTCTATCTTAACTAATGACTAATCGTTTCCATTTTTCAACTTGCGTTTATATTTATAAGTTTACAACTTGTTAGATTCACTGTCATTCACACCAACCTATACAATTAAGTCGATTAATAATTTATTTGATTAATTTATAAATTATTTGTATTCAAATATATGTGGCAGTATTTTATACTTCATGACTAAGTTCAAATAGATACTAGTACGTTACCCGCGCGTTGCGCGGCCTAATATTAAAAATGGTGTGAAGGAATGAAAATTTAATAAAAAATATTTTTTAAAAAAATTATTGAGATAATGTAGAATAAATTTTTTATTAATCCATTTAAAAATACTTCCACAAATACAACATCAATAGAAAGTGAACTGTGTATCACCAATAGTAATAACAATAATTAGACAATATGGATTGTGACTCCAAAAACAATAACAATTAACAAAAAAGAAATTATAAAATCCAATATAATTTGTTTTGAAAAAAATTTAAAATTAAATTTTTAAGCTTACAAAAATGTGATAAATACCATGAAAGATGTAAGAAGATGAAAAATTAAAAAGAAAATGTAAGAAGATGATAAATACCAAAAAAGAAAATAAAGTCATGATTACTATTGTACAAATAAACTAATATTGAATATTAATGTTAACATGTAAGAAGATGAAAAATTAAAATATATAAATACAAATTAAAT